GGGTGTTAGTTTACAGTGCTAGCTCCAAGTATACATAGCAACAGTTTAACAATGACACAGTATGTGCACGGCTTGTACTAGCCTGGATACGTGTAAGTTGTTTACAGTGCTGTCCACTGAGATACCATTCAACACTGTAACATGGATGCACCATGAACATGCAGTATCGATAGATGACAAGCGCCTGGCGGGGTGGCATCAAGTATCATCTATGCAGGTTTTTGATATGACGTGGCCGGGATCGAACCTTCATCCACTAGACATAGTTTGTGAGCAGGTAATGAATGGGAGAATCACGATTAATGAATAACATAATGGGTTAGAGAGCCTGACCACCCGATCTCGTTAGTCGCCTCTTACAACAAGCATGCTGTCCCGGATCTTTAGCTGGAATAGTTCTGAGTGCCCCGTTAATCAATAAATAAACAAGTAAAAAACTTTTTTGATCATCCAACAACACCCCCACCGCCAGGTGATATCTAAAGTTGCCCATAAGAAGGTTCCCAAGCTTTACGTTTCAAATGAATAGGACAAAAGTAAGCCTACCAGGCAGTATAACGAAGGAGCTCAATATTCAAGGCTGTTTTACTATGATTTTCATAAAAGGAAACTAACCTGCCTTCAGTAATCTAACTTTCTGCACTCGCCACCGCGAGTCGTCTAAACACAGGTGTTGAAAAAAGAACGACTGAAGACAAACTGAGTCGGATTACCTGTCGAGAGCACGTGTTCACTACCATATTTAGATCTCTAACGGTTTTTTAAATTGAAAGAGATGTCATCAACACAAAGACGAATAATTCCCTCCAAAACATATACCCTACAATTTCACCAATCTATTGTCTATTATAAAAGGCCCCGTCCAAGTATTGAGTTTCCGTAATGAGTTTATGATTACAGGGGTGGGTTTGCAAGGAGCTGGGGTTCGGTCCAATATGGCCGCCACATTTTCGCATTCAAGATGGCGCACCAGGGGAGGGAAAATTACAAGGCACGGTGGACGGACGAAAACCTCGGTGATCAATCTCGGTATTAAAAGCGTTGTTTCCTTTGATTAATATTTCCTAAATTCAGAATACATTACACTAATATGAGAAATAAACCTTTCCTTTCGTTACCGTCCGCTTGGTTTGTTCAGGCACAGCACGCGCACTGCAGGGAGTGCTCATTGCGACAATTTGTCTTTTACCGCATAGTTCCAATAATGGATGGGATTTGAGAACGGATTTGAGGAATACCCCAAGGTGACTTAGCTTAAGCTCCAGCGAGCCATTACCAAACTCAAGAACAATGAAAACATTGTTTTCTTCAAATGATTATATACTATGATGTCAAATAATGATTAATCCACGAGCAAACGGAATATAACGGTTTTAGAAAAAAAACAATAGCGTAGGAAGGACATGCAGGATGTCCTGATAATATTGATATAAAATTATTCAGGTTTGTTTTTCTTAGCTGAGAAAAGTCACCTTTTCAAAAGGTAACTGAACACATTTCTTGTCTTTCACAAAAATACCCCCCCCCCCAAAAAAACAACAACAACAAACAAACAAACAAAAAACAACAAGAAAAAAACCCAAACAAAACAAACAAAACCAAACAAGAAAAACAAACCAAAGAAAGTAAAAAACAAACAATTAAAAGAAACCAACATGTCCTCCCACCCTTGCATCCAACATCAGCCTAAAAGGACGACATGCATGTCTTTAATATGCATTCCACGCCAAATGTTCTTCTTGATGTAAACTTACGGGCAAAGAACTAAATTTGGCATAATTGAAGTTAAGTGCAAAACAACCCCAGCTCTAAATTAACCACTTCAACGAAACAAATACGAGTTTCGGGAAAAGAAAATTCTGGAGGCGCATCTTGTGCGAAATGTTGTTGCAGTGACGTTATTTCGACAGACTCTGTGCAGGGGTAGTCTCTCTCTCTCAGTCCATGAACCACATTATTTTTACTTTCCGCCTAACTCTTTCGGCAAATGAAGTAAGTCTATATTTCCTCAGGTTCTGAATCTCCAAGCTCACTGGGGCTCCATTTCAATTTAAGCGGAGTTCTACTAACCAACCATTATATATTTGAGGGAATTTTAATATTTTTTCGAGGATCTTGGGTACTGCTAGGTATGACGGAAAACAACATAAACAAACAGAGCGAGTACAGAGACCAGCAATACCACGGCGGTTGGAACAGCAGATTCCATGTGGGGAATCGAACCTGAGTCTTCAGCGTGATGAGCAGACGCTTTAACCATTAGGCTACCCCACCGCCCCCAAACAAACAGAAACAAACGATTTCTATCCCGTTTTTCAAATCAGAGATACACTGTCATTTTCGTTAGCGCTAAACGTTCTTATTCTACGCTTCAATGCTCACAGGATAAGATGGAGCTCTTGATTCGATACACCTGTCCAACCTGACCCAGCTATTCAAGCGGGGACCGTCGATGACCCGAAGAAACGGGGTGGGGGTTAAGAAGGCAGGGAGGGATGTTTATGGGGCGGGATGAAGCAGGTATTAGAGGACTTTATGATAACGTCAATTCAATTGGAAGTAAATAGTTTCCCAACAATACCGTCCCGTGGACCCTTCACGCCTCTCGCCTCGCTTTCATCGTTTGGTCGCGTGCTGTGCGCGTGGAGTTATGTTTCACTGAAGATACGAATCTCTCCGTGTGTTGTCGTAATTAAATCTGACGCACAAAATTACAGGCTACACAACTCCAACAGACGGGATTGTTTATGCTCTGAATGGAAAGGAAAACCTTTAAACGCCATCACTCAAAGATGGTATGTCTTTATTTGTAAGATTAGTGATGGTCGAGTGAGCTGATGTGCCTGCTTTTTCAGAAGACCGAATGTTCTCGCATTGTCCTTTTGTCACTCGAGGATATTTTAAATCAATATTTTCTATATCAGACGTTTGAAGTAAAATAATCGTAATATCTATACGCGTTTATGAGTGAGTGGGGGTTTCCGCCGCCTTAAGTAGTATTTCAGATGTATCATCATCCCAAGAATAGTTTTGCTTGTTTGTTTGTTTGTTGATAAATATTCCAGCTATAAACCCGTGAAGATCCGTGTTAGAAATGGTCTTCAGCAACCGATGCTTGTCGTGTGAGGTGACTAACGTTATCGGGTGATCAGGCTCGCTGACTTATTTGACACATGTCATCGTATCCCAATTGCGTAGATCGATGACTATGCTGCTGATCACTGGATTGTCTGATCCAGACTCGGTTATTTACAGACCGCTGACATATAGCTGGAACATTTCTGAGTGTGGCGTTAAGCAACAAACAAAACACGTATTTCGGCGGCCAGGAATAATCTGGTCAGTTGAATAATTACTCAGTTATTGAAATAGACCAAGTCACCGAGCCTGACCATCAGATCTGGACACTGGTCTCCTTTTACAATCAACACATGTAGCTGGGGACCAACGATGATCATCGTAGGTGAGAACGATTGTTTAGGTAATCTTTGCTATCTCAGCTAAATGTGTCATCATGCCCGGATGTTCTTGTGTATGTTTCCAGCTATACGGCGATCTGTATATAATCGTGTCTCGACCAGACAATCCAGTTATTGAGGCCATGATCATCTACCTACGAAACTGGGATCTAATGGCATGCATCAATAAAGTCAGCAAGCCTGACCAACCGATCTCGTTAGTCCCGACACGAATAGGACAAAGCAGCTGCAGCTGCAGATTTTTTACCCGTAATCTCCAGATGTTACTTGTAATATGGGAAAGAGGTTGAATTTCCCATGGTGTCTTGTCACGTACAAACATTCCAGAAACAAATACACATCACCTGCTCCCCGTCTGTGGGTTTACCTTACTACAAAGAATATCACGATATTTTTTTTCTATTCCAGCTTGACATTTAAGGTTGTGTGTTCCTGTGATTGTTCGACAAACGATAAACTATGGAAACTGCATTCCTAGGGGACGACTTATTTCTTTGAAATATATTTTCTCAAAACCATTTCAAACATACATGTCCAAAAGAACTCAAAAGATATTTTGGGTACGTTTTTATTAAATTTTGAAATAATGTGACAATGTATATATGAGACGAAACTCGGCCACCGCTAAAAGAAAATGTTTAAGACGGGTGAAGGTTGTTTCAAGTCGCATTCGGCGCTTTTACAGCTACAAAGTGCCATTGACCATTGCCGCCCTGAACAATACTGAATAAATAACTGATGTAAATAATCAAGATAAGATCATCCTGGGAATACATGAATTACAAGCTGAGTTCAGTAACCCGTGAAGATCCGGGTTAGAATTGGTCTTCAGCAACCCATGCTGAAGAGGAGTCTAACGGGATCGGGTGGACAGGCTCGCTGACTTGGTTGACTCGTCATTGTATCCCAATTGTGTGTACAGATGCTCATTGTTTGGTCACTAGACGGTCTGGTCCAGTCCCGATTATTTACAGACCGTCGCAATATAGCTGGAATATTGCTGAGTGCGAAACAGCAAACAAACAAATAAATTGATACGGACCTTATCACCAATGTTTGTATCTATCTGCAGTTATTGAGAACTGGTTGGACTGACAAACATTCGTTTTCCGTATGCACATGTATATATAATCAACTTAAATTGCAAAAAAAGCATACAGTATAACTGACACTGAATATCAAAGAAATTCTTTGTAAGGAAACACTTGGTTAAATATCGACTTGATTTATCAGACCTATCTATAAATGAAGGAAGAAAACTGTCCCTGAAAAAACGAAACGAATTTGTCAAATATGCAACATTAATCTAGAAAGTAAAATCACTTCTGTGTACGTCTGTCTCTTTTACGTTCACCTTCGAAAGAAATAAACTGACGTACAAAAAAAAAAGTACACACCTGGTGTTTTGGGTTTATTTGAAAAGTGTTGTGATTTTGACTGGCAGCTTCGCAATTCATGGATCCGCGCATCTTCGCTAAGCCCCGCCCCCTTGGATACTGTCGCGAGGCACCCCAAGCTTTCTAACAAAATGGCCGCCGCCGAGCAAAGCAATTGTCTCGCATGCATTCCTGAAAACTTTTCTGTGTCCTTTTTACCGATTGCTGATCAAATATCGACTAAGAGCATGCAAAGGGGACTTAATTATTACCAGCAAGGCTACATTCATGAGGTGACACTTCAGTTCCCGACCGTATCCGCCAAGTGTTGGCCATCACTCAGGAAAAACAACTCGCCTCATCGACTGTCACTTGACCTTGATGTCGACCGAATCAAATATGCTTATTGCTCTTGTAAAGCTGGGTAAGTTGCTATTTTCGCAGATGATTTTATACCTGTTACGAAAATGTGTGCGTACGATTTTAATTTATTGTGATGCATAGTACAGCCAATCTTGAAAGGGTCTAGAACGTAGAGGCCACACTTGTCAATGTCAAAATACCGTTTGGTTTTAATTATATAATTGTGAGAGGCCCTAAATCAAATGTTGTTTATGAAGTTTTAGTCATTTCTAATAATAAAATTCTCAAAGTGAATTAATGCAAATATACCACAATTTTTTGGTCCAGCATTTTCCCAATAAATCCATGCTTGAAGAAAATCTTAAATATTAGGTTAGAACATTTGTATGGTCAAGGCCTTATTTATTTGAACCAGTCTACTGAGTATCAAGTAAACCATAAAATCTACTCATAATCTGCTAAATAAATTTGATCTTTGCTATTTCTCTTTCAGATTAAGTGGGAAGTGTTCCCATATAATAGGTCTGATCAAGACATTGCAGGGATTCAAGCTCCACAACTTCAAAGAAATTCCATCTGATTTGAGTTCCACATCCATGCCACAACAATGGAACAAGCCAAGGGGAGACAAAATCTTGCCAGTGCCTATCAGCCAGGTTGTGGTTGCTAGACCAACTGAGCAACGCAAGCGGAAGCCAATACAATGCCACACCAACATGAATTACAAGTATAGTTTTATTCTTATTTCATCAGACATTTTGCTCAAATTGATAATTCAAGATATCCATGAAACATATGTACATTTTTACTTGATTACAAGTTAAGAATGATAACTGCCCTTATGTAACAGAATGAAGGAATTCTCTATTCATGATAGAAAATCTGCATTTTTAATGATGTGAATTCATGTTACAAACACAACTGTAAGATGATTTTTCGTATATGATCTGTATGTATATCTGTGTATTTCAGGCTACCAAGGGTTGATATGGCAAGTCTTCAAACTCTACAGGGCACACCACTCCTGCATAGAACAGCACAACATGATTTGCCTTCGGTGCAAACTCCTATGGGAGATGTGCCAATTGGATCTGCACTATCTTATCAGGTATATATTTACATATCTATGTCAAAGAGGTGCAACTAACTTAAAACATTTCAGAAGTGTTTGAAAGTTTGTTTTATTACGAGTTGCTGTATCCAGTAGTAGCTTGGCCTCATTGAACAACTTAGATATGCACCATTACTTAACAAAAACATCCTGAAATAATGTCAGGTGGCAACAAACAGACCAAATCTTGTTTATCCTTGAGAATAGAGATGTTGGAACACAATTTGACAATAATTTATATTGTTTCACCTTGTTAATAAGTCTCTCAATGTGAACTCTGTGCTTTGCCACTTTTTCTGTACATGAATTTTCTCCCATGTTGAATTGTTTTCCTGTCTTTCCTTTTGGAGGTATATTCAGTTTCAAACCTAGTTTTTCAACTTCATTCTTGATAGAAAAACCTTGTCAACCATGATGCCATCACCTTCATTAATGTGTCCAATTTCTTTCATTGACTTAATGACATCATAAAACCCAGACTGTTCAGTGATTGCTTTATCAGATATTGAACCAGTAAATAGTTCTGAAACAAACATTAAGCTTCCATTTGGATCACATCCAATCAAACCCTTAAGAGTAGAAGAGGACTTGTAATCACTGTAGACTTGACTTTGCAAACTTACAGCACATGGGGTCTGTGTTTTGACTTCTGTCCCATCAATGATAATTAATGTTGTTGGATAGTCTCTACGGTATTTTACAGGCATATGTTGTATTATATCATCCCTATGTGGCCATATTGGAATCTGCCCTAGCTTGAAATATAACAGATCAAGCCATGTGTTGAAAATGATACCTGCTGACTGAGGACTTAGTCCAAAGCGAACTGCAATGTCTTTAAGTCCAAACCCATGCCTTAACCGACAGAGAGTAAGCAATAATGCATCCAGAGGTTTAAGTCTCTTGATGTCTTTTCTCCCTGATGAATAATCAATGTCCTCTCCTTGGGGTAGCAGAAATGTTAGTAGTGTGAGAAATCTCACATATGTAACACCTGTATAGTGTTTGAATAAGTTTTTGATTTTTTTACCCCTGGTGATCACAACATCTATGGAAAATAATGATGATTGTTGAAGCTCTCTCTGTAATTCCTGAATTGTCTTCTCATGTGATGCCACTTTGATGTTCAACTCTCTTATTTCTCTTGACTTGTCTTGTAATTGTTGCTCCAAATCATGTTTCTCTGCTGCCAGAGCTAGTACGTCCATTGCTGATATCCCTGAAACGACAAGATATTTGAATGATTTATTTATAATTTCAGATCAAACACATCAAGAATGCAACACCAACTACACACATATGTGGGAACACCAGTGTTATCTTGCCACCACCAGTGAAGCTTACCCAGGAATTTGCTCATCTAAATGATGAAGATACAATCTGTAAGGATCCCAATTCTCTTGAAATGAAAACACAGAGTCAGTCAAATGAACTCTGGTTTGATGAACGCAGGAAACGTCTAACTGCATCAAGTTTTGGAAAGGTTTTGTCCAGAAAAAAAAGACCAAATCATGGCTTCTTGAACTCTATTTTCACTAGAAGAAATATAAAAGCACAATCACTAGAATATGGGAAGAAACATGAAAAAGATGCTAAGGCAAGGTACCATCAGAAATATCCAGACAGACATTTTCATGAATGTGGGTTTGTTGTAAACAATGAGTTTTCATTTTTGGGAGCAACACCTGATGGCAAGATTTGTGACAATGGTGAAAGTGGGATTGTTGAGATCAAATGTCCCTACTCAGCACGCAACATGACCATTGACAATGCTTGTGAAGCTTTAGACTTTTTCCTTAAAAAGGAAAATGGTGTAACTTCTTTGAAAAGATCTCACCATCACTACGCACAAGTACAAGGTCAGTTGATGGTTACTGGGTGCAGGTTTTGTGAATTTATTGTGTTCACTCAACTGGACATGCATGTGGAGAGAATAACTCAGATATTGCTTTCATGCAGTCAATGTTAATGAAACTAGCCATGTTTTACAGAGATCATGCGGTATCCTACCTAAAGAATGCAACCACCGAGGAATAAATGAACACAGAATCTCCATATATACATACATGTTTCATCAGTCTGTGTAGATGTGTTGATCAGGAAGTCAGTGGACTTGTTTTCTGCTTGGTCATTGGGTAACAATACCTGAACTGAAGCAGTCGACTGGGTGGATGGCTTGCTGGTGTTTAGTCTGAAAAAAAGCGAATGTATAATGTTTGACATGACTATGATGATGTTTATTATTTATTGTCATTATGAATATTATTTACATGTATCTTTCCATCATTAAAAAACATGAATGAATCTACTCTGATGTGTGTAATTTGTGAAACGTACAAGTCAATATTCTCTCTGAGAACAGACTACACTACATAATGAAAACATACATCTACAGTGAATAAGGGGATAATGAAAACTCTGGGCACTCTGAAAAAAGATATGAAAGACATAGAAATAGCAATGAAACCTAAAATTTGACTGAAGTTATTTAGAATAAATTTGCATACATACATTTCCAGAAATATTAATAATTATCCCACAATTATGATTTAGGCCTACGGTAGATCTATATATGTATTTTCCATTATTGAATTTGAAGAATGCATCTAGTTTGATTTGTGTAAGTTTCTAAATACACACATGTCAATATTCTCTCCGACAAGAGATGACCTCTGCTTTTTATCCGATATGCAGGGAGTGTACTGGCTTGGGCGTTTCAGGGGGTGGTTTCCTGACTGGCTTGGGGAAGGCTCCGTCTGCAGGCACTGGGTCAGGATATCCTCTGCTCGGTCCTTTTCCTCCTACAAAATGCTGGAATAAAACAAAATACTATCAGATAAGACCAACCGAAATACATGTCCATTGTCCAGCTATCTATATCTAATTACGCATCAGGCCTAAAAATTACGTCGAATCAGAGATCGAATTTCCTTTGCCAGAAATGGTTACAAATGAATTCTCCAGATATATTATTGCTCCGATCTCGTGTTATAACAGTGAACATTCTGTATAAAACTAAGTAAGCCTTTTTTATAAATATTATTTAAGTGCAATAATTTTTACCTTAGAACATACAGCTTTGTGTTGATTTATTCTGGATAAATTTAGCTGCTCATGGGGACGACCGCAAGCTTTAATCCAGCGCTTGCATTTTTCTTCATTCCGTTTGACAGTTGGAAATCGGACGAAAAAACCTCCTTCCAGTCTTTCAGGGTAACGTTCGTCAGCATTGCATGTCCCCCACGCGCATCGTAATACCATTTTCTGTGCTTTTCACCACACGGTAACTAAGGACAACGGCGTTTGTTTGTGGGTAAAATATGGCGGGCGTTTGATAGCAGATCGGCACAGAATGGAAGCTTTTTTCTGATTGGTTGATACCAGCTGTCAATCAATATGCGCGGATCCATGAATTGGGCACGATATCTGTGGTGTTTTGGCAACATATTAGGAAAGTCTGTGACTTATATATCACTGTAAAACTCTTTTCAAAACATAGACGTCGCTCTTTGGAAAGTAATCCAAAAGCAGCAGGTGTGTACTTCCATTTGTACGTCAGTTTATATAAAATATTTCTAACATCGATGTCACCGATGAATGCTTTTGTATAAATTCTAACGAAACAAAACCCGAATCTAATGTATTCAGTCTTTCACCAAACATTAAACATTCATTCTCCAAGACAAATATACTATTTTAACAACGTGCATATCACAGAGTGTAAGACTTTTGATTATAACTCTCTCTTGCATATGAGGCCTTGTGTCCTATAATAAATGACTTTGATGTATAACAGACATTTTCTGAAAGGTTGTCACTGATATGTCAGTATTGTTATATGGTTGAGTGAGTGAGTTTAGTTTTACACCGCTTTTAGCAATATCCCAAAAATATTACGCCGGGGAACACCTGAAATGCACTTCACACATTGTACCCATGTGGGGAATCAAACCCGCTTTATGACGAGCGAGCGCTTTAACCACTAGGCTACCCCACCACCCCAGATATATGGACATTCCCATAGAAACACACACTGGTCAGTTCCGTTTATTTGAAGAAACTGATTCAATTGAGTTCAAAAGGCAAAATAGTGGTGATAATCGTGTGAATAGATGACTGAAAATCAAGTATGTTATAATACCAGGTTAGTCACGATATGGCTGAAATATTGCCGATGTGACTTTAAATCTTAACTCACTCACTATAATACCAGGTAAATAGGTAAGAAATGGCCATCAAGTTCCACCGGCAATACCAACTTCTCAAGCATATGCCAGCGAGTAAAAGAAGTCTGAAAAAGTCCTTGTTTGGTGAAAGTAATACCCAATATTACACATCATGCCGCAAGGCGATGGTAATTCATAATATGTTGATTTTCATATGCGGTAATTATGAAATGTTATCGCTTGAATATGATCAGCTACTGCTCGCTTTGGTGCATCAATACACACATAAAACTTATAAGAACTAGTTCCTTGATCGAAAGCAATACGTCAGTTTTAAAAAAGGTCGGATATAGACATACATGCCAAAATACATATTGTGGCGTAACAACGTGAATGCCAATAGAAATCGCCAGTAAAACAAAGTAGACAAGCATGCTTGGTGGAGAGTAAACAGAAACAATCGAGAAATTATTGATGATACGAAAATGACTTATTTATACATGTACCATAGTTGTGTACTGGATACAGAGTTGGCAGCGAGTGTATGTTCATTTAAGGAGAGTTGTGATAACGTTTGTAGCGTATTTGGTAGAATATTCAGATGTAGTGTAGATTAATTTGCCGGGCAGTTTGTTTAGATAGAATTATGGATCATGATGGCTTGGATGCTGGAATTTGTACAAAATATTTGTAAGATTACTTTATTGAACTCGTTTTCACAATTATTTTATCGCATTTGCTCCATTTACATTTGTTACACATTACATTAGTTACATAGATTACATATTTACGTTTCTTACACTCTACATAAGTTACATATTTTATAAACTTGTATTTTACATGTGTTAAAATTTACATTCGTTACAGAGCTTTATAAATATGCTACATTTTACATCCGTGACCTGGTTTTAACACATTTGTTACACTTTACATTTATTACACAGTTTTACACATTTATTACACCTTCCATTCGTTACATGGTTTTAGACATTTGTTAAAATTTACATCCGTTACATAGTTTACACAATTGTTTCATTTTACATTTGTTTACAGGTTTTACACGTTACACTTTACAATCGTTACACAGTTTTACACATTTGTTACACTATACATTAATTACATAGTGCTACACATTTGTTACACTTTACATTCGTTACATGGTTACACAATTGTTACATTTTACATTTGTTTACAGGTTTTACACGTTACACTTTACATTCGTTACACAGTTTTAAACATTTGTTACATTTTACATTTCTACATTTTTAACTTCACAAACGTTGCGTGTATATTCGTTATCTATAGGATTTACCTTCACATTTGCTGACTTTACTTTTGACATGTACATTTTATTACATCTTACATCCGCTAATAGTTTTACACAGTTGCTGCATTTTACATGAATATTGTTAAATGGTTAATCAAAGGTTAAATATACATTTGCTACATTTTCACTTTAACACATGTATGCAAGCTTTTAACATATACTCATGCCAATAATGGTTGTCACCCCCCTCCCAATCCCACCCCCCAACCCCCTCTCCAATGAAAAAAATTGAAGGGGTTGACAACCATTATTGGCATGAGTATATTTATCTGTTTCTTGGTTCAAACGTTTTGACAAAACCGTTTTATGATCAACAATGCTTCTTAGTTTTGAAATGGTCTTCTTATCTGAATTATATTTTCTGCAGTGAACAATATTTCAAGTCAAAAGTGAAGACTTTTTCCATATATTTGTGATTTTTCGCACAGGCGAGGTACGTAGTGATTCATAAACACATGTTCATGATATAGTGAGAATTTTTTAATCGACTCTGCATTTATCAGAGATTTCTTATTGGTGTGGAAAGAAATATGAGATACAGAGAACACTTCCTTAGCATATGTTATTCCCTCGTCGTGATACATAATACAATGACATTGAATAACAGCAAAGTTATGCTTGTCACCATACAGCTCTTTCTGTCTCCCATGTATGAATGAACTTGTGCAGGATAACAACCCAGCGGAAAGGTGATATCGTAAAAGAACCAAATGAACTGGATGTTTGAAAATATAATTGGTAAAACGTGCTTATAACAACATGCTCTTAACGTGAATCCACTCGAAAACCATAAAATCACACAGTGCAATTGTTTTATGATAGGAAATTTGATAAATCACGGGAAACAATCGTTCTTTTAACAAAACGACTTTTACATTGTGAAAATGTTTGGCAGTCGTTTACAAAACGCAGGACTGCACGAATCAATATAGCGATTATGACAAATAATAAAATGTTATTGCTGAAGTCCAATATTTGTCGAAAGATCACCAGGTAGAACTCGATATCATGGTCGTCCGTCGGTGGAGCTCTCCCCTTCTTGGGAACGCTTCTGGCTTTATGCCTTTGCCAAAGAAGTCAGCTCACTAATCTCCCAACGATTGTGACTAATTAGAGCACAGTAATCATCGGTAGTGTTTGAAGCGATCCTTAGAATCTGATGGTCGTCAAAAGACGACTCCCCAGCGAAATGGCCTCTGACAGTTCCACATTGGTCGATAGACAAAATAAGGGCCTACCGCTCTTGCAACGAAAGCGCAGGTGCTAATACTGCGCTAATTGGCTTCTAGGAACGGTGAACCCTCTACACCACACACAGTCGATTTCCGACTACGCGTATGTCAGATACAAAATCCATCTTTCCGTTGCCGAAGACCACGATAGCTCTTAAATGATGTTTTTAGAGTCTATCTGCATATGTGGCCTCGGTATAATAGGAATTTGGTCGTT